TTAACAGTCTTGAGGTTAAATTGAGGTTTAAATTTTATACAAAGGGGGATACTATACAGAGCGCTTTACGGTATGTCTTTTCAATTGTCTAGATATTTGTTATTTACTATCGTTACGTGCGTTATATTGAAAAACGACGGGATATTCATGATATAGAAAAAAAATAACGTTCTTTCATAGTGAAATATTTCCAAATTTGGCTACAACACGAGTTGTACAGGAAACTGACTTTGGAAGGATTATTGCATAGTGATTATCAAGGGAAATGGTGAAGGATATTTATGCAAAAATAATCAAGAATGGAAAATTGCGAATTAAAGAATTTAATGTCATTACGATAACACTAGTGTTGTCAACTGGACCATACTGGACATAGTCCAATACTGCGTCACCAAACCACTGGACTTAGTATTTTACAGGTCCAGTAACTTCTGGTTACTAGACATAGTAACGTGACAACACTGTTTACTACGTACACGTACGTAATTGAATTTCAATATTCAGAAGCTTGTAACACACACAGATATTTTCATAAAGAACATTTTTAAGTACGTAGTCTGATTTGTCTTGAAAGAAGAATATTTGATATTAGAATTTCACTAATATAAAAAAAATCTCAATTTTTTTCAAAATGGGATTAATAAATTGTTTTTTTAAGATTATTAGCTTGAAGATGAGTATAGAAACTATGGCTTTGAATTGATGCTGAGGGTGCTAGAATTTTTTTTGCATAAAACGTTTCAGGATGCATAATTTTTGACTGGTTTTTTATTTAATAAGAGAAGAAATTTTTATTTGTTACCTATAAAATAAGATTACTTGGTTTGCAAATTTGGACAAATAATTTAGTAGAATACAGTATACGAATCACGCGTCAGCATATATATTATATATAAAAGTTAGAATGTTGCATTTTAAAGAAAATAAGAATTGAAAAATGCTCATCCCTTATGTGAGGAGTTCAGAATTAAGTCAAATCAGCTCTTCTTTGAAAAATAAGCTTTGTCATTTATTTTGATACGCAATAAAATATGCTATCTTTATCACGGTACATGGCACATAATGAAAAATACTTGATTGATTTTTCAATTACATGTACATAAACTCCTGACGATCATTTTACTTTTTAGTAAACAAAGAACGCAATTGGTTAATTTACGCGTGCGTACAAACGGAAATCGTCACACGACCACAATTTTCACAATAAATCGTAAAATAGAATGTCCGGAGCATAGTGAATGACAATAAATTGAGAGGGGGAAACATTTCCTTTAAAATACAGTAGTTTTTAAACTAACAATATTTTTTTAGTTTACTTTATGATGCTTTGCAAATTTCATCTAATAAATCTAACCACTGTAAAATATAAATTTTTATAGGACTCCGTAAAACCGGTTCGTTAAAAACTGCGGTTTAAATTGGTAATTGACACATAGAGAAACGGACTGGTCTTGTGATAATTTAATTAACAAACTTTAAAAAATCAATTTATTTAAACTTTACATTGACTAAAAATCTAGCAACAAATATCTTGTAAACATAAAAACAAATAAAATAAAACTATCTTGTAATAATAAAAAAATTTATTATGATTAAAACTTTTTTATGGAGCTGGATTGATTTGTGCACTACACAATAAATCATTTCCAGGAAGATGAAAAATGCTTAAATAATAACCGAGAACATTAGGAAAATTTTCAACACCTTCAAGTGCAATATTAGTTAGGTCATCTTGAAAAGATGATGAGCCACCTGGTGGCGCGTTAACCGAAAAATTTGGATGCAATGTCATTACATAGATACCGGCAGTATCATAAATCTCAAAGAGATACTCATTTGGATCCGACCAGTCGAATCCTTGATTTATTTGGCCAGTGTATCGAGTAAATTCACTGGCAGATTGGAAGAAAGTGACATCTCCTTCTAGAAAACAGTTAGGAGAATCAAGTCTAAAATCTGCACGTGCGGTTTTTTGTGACCACCGCTTCCCAAGAGAGGCTCCATTTGCGGAAGCGAAATATAAAGCAAAGATTAAGGCAAGAATGAAAAAGAGGTTTATATGTTTAGTCATTTTCTGTTTTCTTTTAGCTAAAATTTAAAACTTTTTAGAAGTCTTTAGAAAAATTATGTTGTGTGAGATTCGATTTTTATATGTTTTTTTCAAAAATTTTAGAATACAAAAATAGATACTTGCAAATTGACATTTTAAGAAATTTCGATACAAGATAAACACTTAATTTTCTTGAATGATAGATATTAAACATTAAGCCAACGGAATGAAGACTACGTGTGTACATAATTGGGTTGTTTATAAATATACCTTCTTTGTCTTAGTTCTAAATCGAGATAAGATCTTTTATATAAAATTAGAAAATCTAGAATTTTCAAGTTTAACTCTTGGCAGAGTATGGATGTGAAATTTATTCAAATACGTGTACATGTACATGTACACCGATGTTAATAGATGTACATGTACTGTCACACGTTAGTGGCCGATTATAGAAATTAGCGGCTAATCTGTAACTTGGGTGGGAGAAACGAAATACATGTAGATCAAGATTATTTTAATTATTAATTTTTCTAAATCCCGTGCCAATATCTTCGGATATTGCTGTGTTCAATCGTCGGTTAGGTCTCGTTCTCGTGTTCACAAATGTTAATAATACATTCACTTTTTCTGGACCAAAAG